ACATTTAAGACTGTATCGAACTGGCTTCGACAGTTCGACGTCCCTGTCACTTATTTACGACACTCAGACTGTAAAAGCTCAGTCTGACATCTCTGTGAATCCTCCGTGTTTCTAGGCCCTAAGTATGTCCTCTGCGTCTATTGTTAATATACTTAAACTTTCTTCCTCTGTCTACTTTGTCAATCCCTCCCAACTTTTTATCTTGTACGTCGTTAACATGTCTGTCCTATTCCTTCTTTTCCTTTAATGTTGTGAGATCCTGTTCCCACGCTCATTTCTTTTCATGTCTCAGTATTCGTAGCTGAGGAACGAGTCTTGTTGCATACTTTTGGACCTTTTCAAGTATTGTTTTGTGTTTCTTTAGGCAGGGGTTCCATGCCGGGGCAGCATACTCAATAATGGGTCTCAGAAATGTGTGTGTATTCACCTAGTTGTATTCACCAAGTTGTTCTTGCGGGGGTTCGGCTCTGCCCTTTCGGCCCGCCTATCAACTGTCAATCAATCAACTGTAACAAACTCCTAACTAACTATTTTTTTCCCCCACACACACCTCCAGGAAGCTGCTCAGTAACAGCTGTCTTACTCCCAGGTACCTATTTACTGCTAGGTGACAGGAGCATCAGGGTGAAAGAAACTTTGCCCATTTGTTTCTGCCTGGTCCGGGAATCGAACCCGGGCCACAGAATTACGAGTGCTGCGCGCTGTCCACTCAGCAACCAGACTGTGTGCACGTGTGTGTGTGTTTACTATCACTATTTATGTCTGCAGGGTCGAGGTGTTAGCTCTTGGCCCCGCCTTGCTAACCGTCGGTTGTCCAATCTGACTCTAGACTCAATTGTCCATTATCGTATCTACACATCTCTCTCTCTCTCTCTCTCTCTCTCTCTCTCTCTCTCTCCTCTCTCTCTCTCTCTCTCTCTCTCTCTCTCTCTCTCTCTCCCCCTCTCTCTCCCCCTCTCCCTCTCCCCCCCCCCCATGTGCGTGTGTGAGTGCGTGCGTAAGAGCGAGAGAGAGCGGGCGCGTGTTCCACCGGTACTTGTGAAACCAGTCCAGTAAATTGAATGCAGATTGGTATGGTGATTATTATTTTGGGGACAAAGTTTAGACCTGATTAGATATTGGTGAGTTTGCCTTGCATATTATTGAGCAATTTGCATAATTACCTGAGGGCCGCAGGTGGACGCTCCTCTCACCCGCGTGGCCATAGGCCTTTATTGCTGCCATTTGTTGACTTTTCAAAGTTATTAGGGGCCATTAGGCCTATCAACTCAGTTATTAGGGGTCAAATAGGCCTATCAGCACGAGTTATTATAGCTATTTAGACCAAGTTTTTTAGGGGGTCATTTAAATATATCGACTTCTCACAGTTATTGTCGCTATTTAGGCCTATCGACTTCTCAAAAGTTATAATGACCATTTAGGCTTATTCTCAAAGTTATTGCTCCAATTTAAGCCTATAGACACCTTAAAAATTGCCGCAGTTTAGGCCTATCGACTTCTCAAAAGTTATTATGACATTATTATAACTAATAAAAGTTATTATTTATGTAATAAAAGTTATTATTATAAAAGTTATTATGGACAGAAAACTGAAGGCTGGGTAGACTATATTTTCCTACATTGTCAAAAAACCATTTGACACTTCCTCATGAAAGACTGTTATACAACATGAAAAGCCAAACTGGATAACTGGGTAAACACGGAATTGGGAAAGGGAGTACCGGAAGGGCAGGCATCAAAGAGTCACAGTCAGGGAGGATGTTTCCAAGCTGGACGGCTGTAACATGAGGGATCCCGCAAGGCTGTGTCCTGGGACCGCTCTTGTTCCTCATTTATGTGAACGACCTACCCAAAGGAGTGAGCTTGTTAGTTTTCGTTAGTTACGGCTATTATATATATATATATATATATATATATATATATATATATATATATATATATATATATATATATATATATATATATATATATATATATATGTGTGTGTGTGTGTGTGTATATCACGAAAATAAACACGTGATTAAGAATGTGACAATGTCAGACCACGGACGAAAATGAAACAGGAATTTCCTTAAGTACTTTCGTATATTAAATACATCTTCAGAAGGAATGATTGTACAGATCGAGTGATGGGTATACCCATCTCCAGGTTTATACCCATCACTCGATCTGTAAAATCATTCCTTCTGAAGATGTATTTAATATACGAAAGTACTTAAGGAAATTCCTGTTTCATTTTCCTCCGTGGTCTGACATTGTCATATATATATATATATATATATATATATATATATATATATATATATATATATATATATATATATATATATATATATATATATATATATATATACCTTGATAATGGTACATACATACATTAGAAGGAGTGGCCACAGGCGTGGCCAGCCTAAGCCAGCATTGTGGTCTTCCGCTCGCTGAGCCGTGTAATGAACCATCTTAGCCAGGCGCTGCATTGCCAAGCTCAGCAACGTTGTGATGAACATCACCGTCAGCAGCATACTCAGCACACACAACTCAGCCTCAGCAACTGCTGCTCAGTACAGCGGGTGATCTGCCCGACCAACCTCCCAGTACCCGGTAGCTACGCTCTGTTTGTATGGTCATCATATGGGCCATAACTTCTTGAGATCTTGAAGTTATCTTGAGATGATTTCGGGGCTTTAGTGTCCCCGCGGCCCGGTCCTCGACCAGGCCTCCACCCCCAGGAAGCAGCCCGTGACAGCTGACTAACACCCAGGTACCTATTTTACTGCTAGGTAACAGGGGCATAGGGTGAAAGAAACTCTGCCCATTGTTTCTCGCATGCGCCCGGGATCGAACCCGGGACCACAGGATCACAAGTCCAGCGTGCTGTCTGTTCGGCCGACCGGCTCCCTACTACTGAACATTCTACTTATTAGGCGGAATCAAAGGTTTAGGTTAGGTTAGGTTAGGTTAGGTTAGGTTAGGTTAGGTTAGGTTAGGTTAGGTTAGTAATTATTGGACCAGGCAGAGACAGATTTGCCTGGTCAGATTTGCCAGTGGGCTCACGGGTTATGGTGAGCCCGTGAGCCCGCTGACTTTGTTGTTGTTTAAGATTCGCTACTTGGAACAAAAAGTTGCAAGTAGCACGGTCGATGGTGAGCCCGTTGTGGACTTACCTGGTACAGGTGCGGGCAAGTAGCACGGGCTATGGTGAGCCCGTAGTGGACTTACCTGGTACAGGAGCGGGGCAAGTAGCACGGGCTATGGTGAGCCCGTAGTGGACTTACCTGGCACAGGAGCGGGGCAAGTAGCTTGGACTATGGTTGAGCCCGTAGTGGACTTACCTGGTACAGGAGCGGGGCAAGTAGCACGGGCTATGGTGAGCCCGTAGTGGGCTTACCTGGCACAGGAGCAGGGCAAGTAGCTTGGACTATGGTTGAGCCCGTAGTGGACTTACCTGGCACAGGAGCGGGGCAAGTAGCACGGGCTATGGTGAACCCGTAGTGGACTTACCTGGCACAGGAGCGGGGCAAGTAGCTTGGACTATGGTTGAGCCCGTAGTGGACTTACCTGGTACAGGAGCGGGGCAAGTAGCACGGGCTATGGTGAGTCCGTAGTGGACTTACCTGTCACAGGAGCGGTGCTGAATCTGCACTAACTTGGAGCCTCAGTTATATATACCTACGTGACTCCCCCACCTCACTCACTAATCAGATTTGGTACGTACACTTAAGCTTCAGCAAGCTTGCTACCCATACCCAAACCCTGCAGGTGGCTCTACGCCTTACCCACCACCCCAGACGTACCCCCCACTTCCCTACCAGCCACAAGGGCAGCTAACATACACATCTGCTTTGTCTAACAACGTGCAAACATGAGGAGTCAATCACACACAGAGATCACACTAACGTGATGCATCAAATGAACAAATCCACAAGGGGCCGTGACGCGGATTCGAACCTGCGTCCGGGAGCATCCCAGACACTGCCTTAATCGACTGAGCTACGACAGGGTAAAACGACAGGTTTCAACCCTTTTACCCTGTCGTAGCTCAGTCGATTAAGGCAGTGTCTGGGATGCTCCCGGACGCAGGTTCGAATCCTCGTCACGGCCCCTTGTGGATTTGTTCATGTGGAGTCAGTCCTTGAGCATAATGTCCGCAAACATAGGAGCGTCATCGCCTATCTTGGCGATCTCAAACACTGCTGTGTGAATACTCATCATCGCCCTGAGGTGATTGATGAGTTGGAAGCATTTTCTGATGACAGGATTCTTGAGAGTGTTGCTAAGGTTGCCGGTATGCGACCTGATCAACCAGGCTGTGACTCATACGTCAGGCTGCGAGCAGCCGCGTCCAACAGCCTGGTTGATCAGTCCAGCAACCAAGAGGCCTGGTCAGGGACCGGGCCATGGGGACGCTAAGCCCCGGAAGCACCTCAAGGTAACCTCAAGGTATGCCTTATACCTCATCCATATACGTCATGGATGCTTCCAGACCAGCAGGGCCAAGGTCAGACAGTCTACTGTCTACTGAAGCAAACTGAAGCAGTTTGCTTCAGTAGTAGTAGTAGTAGGCATCCATCAGTCTCAGGAGACTGTGGAGTTGCGCTCTGGTTGTCGGTCAGGGGCCAGATTCACGTAAGCACTTACGCAAACACTTACGAACCTGTGCATCTTTTCTCAATCTTTGGCGGCTTTGTTTCCAATTATTCAACAGTTAATGAGCTCCGAAGCACCAGGAGGCTGTTTATAACAATAATAACAACAGTTGAATGGGAAGTTTTCATGCTTGTAAACTGTTTAATAAATGTAACCAAAGCCGTCAAAGATTGAGGAAAGATGTACACGTTCGTAAGTGCTCGCGTGAATCTGGCCCCTGGAGCAGCCTCTCCTGAGGACACTTTAAACACTCTGACGTTCATATATCTATATATCCCCCCCATCTATGGCAGTGGTCATCCCTGTTCATCTGGATATTATATATGTTCTTCAAAATATAACATTTTACTGCCAAGATGCAAGTCCCTGATCCTGAACGACAATCTCCACATCCTAATCCAATGACTAGCTCAAGAGTGTCTCAAGTGGTTACTCAAGAGGTTGAAGTTCTCCATCTCCTTAAAACACTGAACATAGGCAAGGTATCTGGGCCGGAAAAGGTCAGCTGAAGATGATTATATAGTTGTGCGGACCTGTTGGCTCCACCTCTCACACGCCTCTACCAACTCTGTCTATCTCAAGGAGTTTGGCCCTCCCAATAGGAGGTTATCTTGAGATGATTTCGGGGTTAGTGTCCCCGGGGCCCGATCCTCGACCAGGCCTCCACCCCCAGGAAGCAGCCCGTGACAGCTGACTAACTTTCAGCTCCCTATTTTGTGCTAGGTAACAGGGGCATCAGGGTGAAAGAAACTCTGCCCATTGTTTCTCGCCGGCGCCCGGGATCGAACCCGGGACCACAGGATCACGCGTTCAGGGTTTTGTCCGCTCAGCCACCGGCTCCC